GGACGTGGGTTGGTGCGATCGACATGCGGGTGGAATTGACCCCTGGCCCGTGTCCATTAGCATCGTGCGCGAAGTTGCTGGGTCGATTGTATGGCGGCATGGTTGTCGTTTCTGACTTCCTTTCTTGTTTTCATCGTGTGGACGGTTGCACGAACGTGAACTATTGGAAGAACCTTTTTTTTGTGTGTCTCTTTCAAATTTTTTTATTTTTTTTATGTGTGTCTTCAAATCGTCTGTCTCAAATGGTTTGGTGTGGCGGAAAGTTTATTTTTTTTATGTGTATCTCTTCATTTCCCTTTTCTTTTTTTTTGTCTCTTCAATTCGTTTGTCATGAATGTTTTCGTGTGGTTCTCTGGCGGGACGTCAAACATGGGTGTTCAAATTGTTGATGCAAGTTGCTTAACGTTAGTTAACGACGAAACACAAAAACAGAGAGAGATGAACATGGATTGTGTGCATGCATAGGAGACAATCACCTGCAATCATCTTTAAATCATTCCACAGAAGAGATGAGAACAGCGGATACATCACATAAAAAAAAAGGTGCGCTAAAAGCGCTATAAACTTCTCGCGCAGCGAACTGCGATTATAAAAACAGAATACAGGACGACATTCATTGATCTCGTCGTCGACTCCAACGAGCGACACACTAAACACCTGCACTAAACGCAACGTACGCCATTGAAATCAATCAACCCGTCTTCGTGGCACAGATGATGCGCTAAACATGTGCGCAACCGACGACAATTCTGCCGAATCCCTCTCACCGACATACTAAACAGGTGCGCACTTTGCGACGGTGCAACCACAGTGAAGCCCATCACGACCAGCCATGTGTACATGCGCCCGCGTCCACACAAGCAGCCCCCCACCACACGCCCTCCCCCCTACGCGTCATTTTTCCCCTCGTTGTTGTTGTCATCATCGGGGGGGCCTGAACCCAACCAATCTAGCTTCTTCGCATCCTCTGGCCCCGTTATGCTCGCATCGTGCCTGAAACCAATGCCGCAGGGTGCCCATTGAGGGATGTAGTCGGGGTACTGTCCGAACGTAGCGTTCGCCTTCCCGAGCCTCTCTGTAACGACTTTCATGACGCGGACGACGAATCGTCGATGATCGAAGGAGCGATGCATGGACGCGACGAGTGTGGGCTTCGCCATGAGGTTCGCGAAGTAGAAAGCCTCATAGTGACTGCGCGGATCGTCCCCCACCATGCGCATTATCCGCATGCACGCCGCCAACAACAGCCTGAAGCAGTCAGCCACCCGACAAAGACGATCGTGCGAGATGAACTCGCCGTCGATGAGTGCCCCCATTTGCACCGCCGCGCGGAATGTCGTCGTCGTCCGGTCTGTCCTCGATGTTGGCGCCGACGAACCACAGTGGCAAGTCCATGGACAGATCTATCGTGTGCGCGCAAACCGTCGGACTGACGACGTCGCACCACTCCTCGCCGTACCACATAGCACGCGCAATGTCCGTAACAAAGGTTTCCAGCGAGTACTCGAAAGCCACATTGTATCCCCTTGGGCAGTTCCCAGACTTGAATACCCAGCCGTGCAAGATGCACAGAGCAACGTTCTCCACTGCCGCCGCACGGGAGATCGCTTGCTACAGCTGTAATTGGTCGACGATCCTGCCTACGCGCATGCTGGATTTGGGCAGTACAACGCTCCGAGGGACGGCAGGCGGTGGAAGTCCGCTAGCGATGGCGACGAAGTTCTCTCTCGTATCGTGGACGATGTTGTACAGTCTTCGCCCCTCCCCCGTCGTCCGAAAAGCTTTGTCATCGACCCAAAGGACGACACGGTCGATGAGGTTCTTTGTCATCACTCCCCTACGTACCCGGCTTGACCCGGGTTCGCCGCCCTCCCGATCGCCTTTCTTCTCGCCACGCGCTTCCTCTCTCGTCGTCGCCACAACTGCTGCCTCCTCTCTTGCCGTCGCAACGGGGGCCACAGTGCCTGAACCACCCGCCCCCGCAGCACCTACCGCTTTGGACCCAACTGCGCGCGCGTCTGCCACGACTTCCCCCCCGTCGCCGCGTTGGACGGACCCTCCGTCACCACCCTCGATGCGCTGACGTGGCTGAGACGGCGTGGCGGGCAGCCCACCCGAGACTGGCCTTTCGTTTATAGCAGCGCGTGCCGTCACCGTCGGGGGTGGGGTCGCCGTTGTATGAGTGCGCATGCAACGTCTATCCAAGGGCTCCTCATCCTCGCCGCCAAGATTGACGACGGCAACCTTCTCTGTTCGCGTTTCGCGGGCACGCAGCTGCTGCGCCTCGGGTGGAGGGGTCAGCATCCTCTTCGAAGCGCTCTGATCAGAAGAGCGCTGCCGACCGCTCTCCCGTACTACAGACGTGGTAGCCTCTGCCTGCTCCTCCTCAGTCATGAACTCTTCGTCGTAGTCCCCTTCCGCTGCTGCCGCCCAACCTTGCGCTCCACGACGAGGCACCCTTGTTGACGCATCTTCCGAACGCACCCTCTTCGCTTTCGGGGCATGTCGTCGACCACTTCCCTGCGCTTGGTTGTCGTTAGGGACTACGTCGCGCTTCTTCCCATGGGTGTTCCCTCGCGTAGACATGCTTCGTGGCGACCTCCGCAGGCGAGCTTGGCGGTGTGACCGGATGAGCGGGAAGTGCTTCGCCGACCTCCGTTTGAAGTGTCGCCGATCTGGCGAGAAATATGTCTTCCGTGCTGCTGTGGCGTGACGACGGCGGATACCCCCGCGACACAGAAGATTTGTCCTCCGCGGGAAGAAGACGACGACGTGCACGTGGTAGACACTGGACAGAAGGATGACGACCCCGGCGAGAGTACTCCACGGTGTCGGTGCGAATACCCTTACAAGGGTATCCGCCCTGGTTTTTGCGAGTAACAGAAAGTTGTTTGGCTTAAAATTTAAGTATACCACGCTAGGCGTGACCGCTTCTGTAATTTACGTTGACAGGATGGTTGACCACAATGGCGAGTGCGTGGGCGCGCAGGTTTAAGGCGCGCATGATTCTTTTCTATTGTTGATCGCAAAGCCGGCCCAGACCCCGTTTGTTTTGCTTGGTGATATTATCATTATTTATTTATTTTTGATTAAGCAGGAATTAAGGATATTTTCGTTTGATTGGTACATATTGACCGAGTCGAGCGCGCGTGCGGAGAAACGACCCCGACGACGGCATCGGCAATAACGGCGCGATTTTCGTGCGGTGAGAAGGATGTAGTAGGATGGCGCG